AGGATTTAACGAAGATAGCCTGATGGACCTTCTCAGCAGTGTTCTCTTTGTGTGTGAGGCTTCCTTTCTAACTCACTCCCTTCCAATCCTCAGTAACCTTGTGTGTAAATGTGGCAAAACATTTGTGTGAAGAGATGAAGAGATGTCATAATCCTGTAGAAATAGAGTTGTTCTTCTTTACTAAAACTTATGAACATGTTTTTGTGTTTCCTGTATCTCTAATGGCATATACCAGCAGTATTCAAACTGCTACAGGTGCAGAAAGATCAAGTCCCTCTCATCTCTGATTTCCCAAAATGGCAGACAACAAGCAGGGCAAAAATGATATTGATTTGTGATCACTACACCAAGCGCCTTAAAAATTGTATCGTGACACAGGGCCTTGAACACTCATTAAAAATATGTAAAGAAATGAAATCGGAAACACGTAGTGAGCTGATAACTTGTATTTAAAGTTGCTTTTAACAACATGAATATACAAATCAGGCAGGATCAAAAGGGCAATCAAAGCCGACCTTAATTAACAGCTAAAAAAACTGCAGTGACAAACTTTTTAAACACCAATTCAGAGTCCCCTTCCCCCTGACAAATCTGTGTAAAACCAAATGAATTGCTGGTGAGGCTGATTGGTCACATTGATTGAGCATCACTGAGTCTTTTCACTGCTGAGCACCAAGTCGTCTTTCAGTCGATAGACACAACCCAAATACACCAGGCACTCAATCCAATGTGTTGCTACATGGGCCCATCCAGCTAATTTAACACCCACTCCATTTATGAAAAAGAGTCCTCATCGATTTTTTCTGTTCATGTGCTTTAGTTGCTCGTGCTCATTTTCGCCATGCAGGCGCCTACACGTGCTCAAGGCTGGCAGCAACTGAATTGAATTAGAGTGTGGTAGGGTTCCTATAAGATTGGCTTCTCAAAGCTCTCACCTTCAGTCTTTCTTCAGATTTAGCAGAGATCACAGTGAAATGTAGATACAGAATGCTGCAAAATGGACGAACACTGCCCAACATTATAGCAACTCGGCACCACAGCAAAGACAATTTCTGCTTCGTACCAATCGCTCTCCCCTACTGCTACCACACTCTGTACTCTTCACCCTTTTTCTATTTTCTTTCTCTCTTGTCATCAATTATCTGTCTCTTTCCAATGTATTAATGGCTGTTCATGCTCCCAAAATGTAATCTAGCATTTAAGTGGAAAACAGTCAACACATTACAAAAAGTCTTAGAAAATATAATAGGGAATTTTTGATTGCAATAACTAGTGCAACAACAGAAAGCCATTTCCACTGTGTTTTGTCGGCAGTGGTAAAACACTGATCAACAATAACTGTCATTATAATCATAATGGCTTTCCTGTAAGGACAAGCCTTGTCATCTTGTAACAACCACATACAGTAGCTGCAACTGCCAGGTAAACAGTGCTGCATACAAAGGGAAGCAGAGAGTGAAAGCTACTAGTTCATTGAAAACAGCAAAAAATATTAGAAACACACGCTACATCTATCCCGGGATCCCTCCACTCTGCACACGGATCACCCACTCAAATGAAACGATATTAGAACATTTGAATCTAGAACCCATTCTGATAAAAGTATCAACCAAAGTGTATCCATTTTGTTTCAAATGTCAGCAAATATGAAATGATGGCGGGACAAATGCAGTACCAAAGTTATTGTGCTAAAGGTCGCAGCCAGTCGTCCAGTTATCAACATGATTTTGAGTGAAATGTCAAAATGATATTTTGAAAAGAAAAATACGTTCCAGATACAATGTTGCAGATCGTTGTTTTGAATGGATTATTATTGCAAATATGGATCATGAACGTGATTATTCAAAATAAATTCCCCTGTACAATGTACCACGAGAAGCCGGGAATCGGCAAAGAAGCTTGGAAGGCTTGTACTTTAGTTCTAATCAGATATCATATCTGGGAGCTTTTTATCATCAAAAGGCAATGATGAGATTACGTTTATCATCAGAATATACTGCCGTGCCAGCATCGAGTTAGCCTGTTCTGTATTGTTACTTAAGATTCTCCCATGATCCCCTCCTGGAGGTTGAACAGGGCAAACAGTGGCAGCATGTGTGTACAGCAGGTAATAGTGTGCGACTGTGTTAAGCAAGTGTGTTACTACATCAGCAACCATCTTGGTAGGATAAATATATATGGGTGTGTGACAACCATACCTTTGCATCACATTTTTTTTAATGTTTTATCTACTTGACTCTCAAACACACACAGGATAAATGCCAAAACTGTGTTTACGCGTTCGAGTTTACTCACAGGACGAACAAAAGGGAAACACAATGAGAGAACAAGTCTCATGGACACGTATTATGTGCTGTTAAGTTTAGCTAAATGTAAGCAGGTTTATATTAATTCATCATCCCTTTTTTTAGTCTGTATTCAAATTCAACAGCAGCGTGTTTTCCCCTAAATGCACGTTTTGCCTGGTTGGGCAACAGAATTTTAGAAATACGTACAATTGAGTTGACTGAAATTAGTAGATCATTAGACAATCTCTTCATTTTGTTATCGAAAGTGGTTTTGCATATACTCTTATTTTTGTAATATATCGGAACAGATAAGGTAACAATAGAGGACACCATTTTGTCTCTGGAGCTGGGGCAGAAAATATTAAATTGAAGACTATTCTATTCTCAAAAATTGAAAATAAACTTAAATTGTGGGTTTGGTGAATTCTCAGAGCAGTCTAGATAATCAGTTATTTTCTCCCTTTTGAATGATGTTGTTTTTCAAGCCAATTGCATCTGTACAATAATGTGCTATTGCTGAAAAACACGCTCATTTCCATTTTCACACCATGTATGAAAATACAAAGATGTCCGTGTCCTTCACAGGTTAAGGACACATTTCCATGCAGTGTCAAAATCAACAATGCTTTATTGATATGTAGTAGTCAATATGTGTCCCTTGCTGTTATTAATAACCATGGAGGGGAAAACTGAGACATTGTCAAATGTTATCGTAACACCTTAAGCCCTCAGCATTTTTTTTGAATTCGGTTATTTTATTCTCACATTATTCTTTGAACCAGCATATATGCAATACATTTAATTGTCTTGAGGGAGTGAAACATCATAGGTCATTTTATGAAATTCATAGCAGAGCAGTATGTTTCTGCCTATTTGCTATTAACATATTCATTAAGTCAGCCTTGTCAAAGAGCTATAGGGTGACATACATATTGCATGAAGAAGAGAAAAAGAAAAGTGCAGAGAAAACATAAGAGTACTGACTCTACTATTGTGTGTGTACGCATGTGCTGGTGTGTGTTGCATACACATGTATATGAAAGCATGTATTTGTTAACTAAATGCAGTTGACAAATACAAATAATTCCGGTTTCTGTTGACAGTATTTCCTTCACAACTAGTGCATTCAACTAAATAATATGTTCGTCAAATCCTGACCACAGTATCGCAGAGCCTCCCAAAACTATAAAGTAAAAAGAGTCTAATTATGATTAGTGACTTATTAAAAGTCTGACTATCATTAATGCCATGCTAATGTATGACTATTATTCACCCATTGAAAGCTGAGAACAATTTTTCTGATGGTGATGTGACACACAGACAAGGGGGAAATAAATCCTTCTGTCTTCCCGGGGAGAGTTTTTGGCAGTAAACCAATTCCAAGTCCGGCTTCTTGAATGCCCAGATAACGCAATCAGACACTTGCAATATTGCTGTTTTACCACCTGAAGAATTTGAATTTCATTCAGCCCCTTCAGAATAGTAGACATGCCAATTTTTCCCTAAGAATTGGCAGGACAAACACAATGCGCCCCGGTGAAATGAGGAAAAGGCTTACCAGCAGAAAATAACAGTTTTTTTAGGGTCTTTCTTGTCTGCCTCCTCAGGTTTAATTTGATCATAATAACATACAAAGAAAAAATCAGGGGGGAAAATCCATCATACAATGTGATGCCTTTTATTAGATGTTTTATTATTAAATTGGGAATTATTTCACAATAGTATTAAATATAAGGGGGCCTCAGTTTTGATCATATGACCCCTAAATATGACTCACATTTGATTAAATGTGGTTATTGATACGAGAGGATTTTTCTTGCTGTGCCTTTTTGCTGTTGTGAGGTGATACATTTATCATTTAAGACATCATGTTGGCCAATTCTACACATTCTTTAATTGGGATTTCAAATTATTAAAAGTTGAGGGGAATTAAACCATGTCTCATTTTGTTGGGGACACACTCAAACTATCCTGAATTCCTCCTGGGGCTCCACAGACACTTTTAGAGAACATGGCCTACAGGTAATCATTTTGTAAGTTACAGGAATAATGCTGCAAATAGGGGAATAGGGGACTACACAGCATAGTTCACTTTAAGGCTGTTCACTTCGTTCTGATGCTTTTATTTATCGAATAATCAATTAAGTACCTATTTATTTCTCTATGTGAAGGAACTTGTGCTCGGATAGAAAAAAAGGAGAACCATGGAGAGGGTTGTTGTACAAATGTGTAGTCCACGTCCCAAAACATCTCTTTCTTTTTTTTGTATACCTTTTCTGGTGAACAATTAAATGAATCACTTATTATTGGCTATTTAACAACCTCAACATACGGCTGTTTTTTTCCAGTGTCACCTGCTCACATTTACTAAACCGAACATTTCTTCCACTGCTCTGCTTTTATGGGACAAGAAAAACGAACGATTTACTGTTCACGCGACAGTGAAATGCACAGGCCCATAAACTAGAGCCCTACTCTCAAATCCAACTAATTTAGGGTATCAAGCACGCATGTTTAATATGAGGCGACTGCTGTTGACGCACCGTAAACACGAACTCCGTGTCTGTCAAAGCATAATATATTAATCAATACATCGGCTTACATGCCTGAAAACCTCATGCAGCTTGATGCTGGAAGCCTGCGTAGTGCACATTACATGGTATTATTGTCGCTCTGGTATTAAGAACATATAAAACGGTGCTTCGTTCCTACCTTGATTCCTCCAATCTCCTTTTCTTGATGCCTCAGTGTGTCTCATTCATTCTCGCTTCCCTCCTCACTTGCCTCCTTCCCCTTCTCTTCCCCTCTGGTTATCACTCGTTTTCTCCTCTCAGGTCCCGTCTTCGTGCGGATGCATAAGAATTAAAAAGGAATAGCCTGCTATCTTAAAGACAAACCAACGAAAAACGAGAGAGGGGGAAAATCCTCCCGACTTCAAATATGATAAAGGCAGTAGGGGGAAATCCTCATGGACAGAGCAGATTCTCGCGAAAATGCGCCTGTGTGGGCATTAAAATAAATAAAAGCGACGACACCATTGTCCTGCTGCTTATCAACAGTAATAACATGGGAGTTTCTACGGCGTTACGTGGTCAAGGAAATGAATAATAACACACATGAAGTTGTTATCGTGTTGTCCGTCCTTCGGTAAGCAAATGTGCCACCGTCGCAAAACGTCTGCGTAATATAAATCAGACTCTTGGAGGTCTGCTATGAATCTGCACGCAGAACGCTTCCTTTTCAAACTGTCGTCTATTATTCACCTTTATGTGCTGATGCAGTCTCAAAAAAGCTAAACGGTTGGAAATCACCCGTTCAAAGTCGGATAGTCTACACAGGCCATCAGCGGTTATGTTGTGCGTCCTGACGCACCGAGCGGATCACTAGTCTATAGTTTCCCTCTTCGTCGGCAAGCAGCGCACACTCTCATCAGGACCATTTACACCGTATTTTTCAAACGCTGCAGTTCTGCACCAGGCCTATTGCAACCTAGCGCATTCATCATTGCCTTTCACATACAGTTTGGTGGCCGAGAGACAGTTTCGAGACAGTTTTTATAACCAACCCATACGTAAAGCGGGAAAATGTGCCACTTCAGCCCGCCCACTACATTGCTTCCTCTCTAACACTAGTTCTTTCTCCTTTTTTAGGTTTCCAGACGCATGTGATTTCCCAAGTTGGGTGAGGGTCATTTGTGGTTTCCCTGCACCTAATTCATTAGGGTAATTCTACAGAAATACATAAAGTAAATATATAAAGTGCCTATCAAATTAAATGTTCTTAGATATGGTTTCTTATATGTTTTAGCAATCAAATAGCCTTCACTTATATTACATTTGCATCCACTGTATTACTTTAAGATGTTTTTCAATGGGAGAAAAAGTAGATTGTACATTGTATTTCAGAGAATATTTTAGGTGAGTGATAAAAATGTGCTAGAAAAGACTGTACCCTTTTCATATGGATCAATCTACGCTCAGTTATTTGATAAACAAAGCTGTCATAACAATTTGCGTTAATCTTACATGCACCTGTACAACAACAAAAAACTCATCTGTATTATGAGACTTGTGCGCACTTAAGCGCACCATGTTGAATTTAAAAGCATCTCAATGGGCTTTCCAGATTTGTTTTCCTTCGTTTTACAGCACTACAGACACTGTGACAAAAGAAAGATTCTGAGAGGGAATAAAATCCTTCTAAGATTGTGTGTTGCCCCTGTGCACAGTTGAGGTTTTCTAAAGATGATACTTTTCCGGTACTTCCACTGACAGACAAGATGCTGAAGACTCAAGATGAACAGGCTGAAGGAATGTCATAACAGTTCAGGATCTCGTCAGGATGCTCACAGGTGAGAATAAAGACTGTAAATAATCTGACCAACACAAACTTAAGAACAATATAAAAACCTGTTACTGGAACTGTAAAAATTACTACAGCACATACAAAATACTCTATGGGGAAGAAGTGAGTGAGAGGGGATGACACTCAGCAACCGTTTTGAGCCATGTTAAAACTCTTGAAAGTACATGGTGTTCCTGAGCCTACTGAACTACCACACTAAGCAGTCAGGTTTCTCATAGTTTTTCTCCTGGAGGTATAAATAGAAAACTGGCCAGACGCCATAGTCTTATTCTACTGTGTGTTAAGAAACAGTGGCAGTGCAGGAGGTCGGTACTATTATACTGCACAAAGTAATTGACAAATCAATAAATCACTTACGTACAGTGTTTGTTTGTAATTAGCGACCTTGCCTTATTTCTCTTGCCATTTAAGTGATACATCAAAGGCCATATGTGTGATACATAGTAGGTACATCAGCCATGTACAACCACATAATAATATAAAATATACCCATTCTACAAACTGCATATCCTTTATGTCCACTGCATAATTTATTCCATATACTGTATCACATTTTATTATACCGCTTAGTTGAATACTAGACTCTGATTGGTCAATTGGGACAATCCAGAGGTTGAACATTTTTGTTTTTAGACCGCTGCTAAAAAGAAGAGACCGTTGCTAAGGATGATCAAGGGACTATGAGCATATCAATCCGCAGAAAGAATTCCAGGAAAATTAACATCAGCTGTGGACAACAAATATAAGACTACTTTTTGAATATTATTTGGTATAAATGTAGAGAGCACAAAACATCATGTTGGTTTATTCTCATGATAACATGTCCCCAGTAGGAACGAGGTTAGAAGACAGAGCACTGGAAGTTAGAGAAATCAGCAGAAGAAGATAAACAGGAAGTAAACACTAACGGGAACACGGTGGGCTCTGGCGATGTTTAAAGTAATGGTTAATGGATAAGAAAATGTGAAGAGGACATTTACAGAGAAACTTGATCGGTGAATCACTTTAAGTTGTCGCCGCAGTTCCAAACGTTGGTACGCCGTGGAACAGACTATTATAGCGAAAGTAATCGATCATTTTTAAATCAATAAAATAATTTGTAATCAATATTCTGAGTCATTGTTTAATTTAGAAGGTAGCCGTTTAATGAACGCCTCACTGCACTTTATCCCTTACAAGATAAAGATCACAGCACAGAGGAATGTGTTGCAACAGGAGGAAGAAATATAGAGTTATGATCATATTTAAAAGTTTTCTTCCTTAAGCCTTCATCACTATACATTTTCACTAGCTCCTTTAGTAGCCTGACTTAAATACTATATGAAAACATAGTGTAACAGTTGCTGTAAATGTTAAAAGCTGCAGGTATATATATGCTGCTATATAAAGAAATCTAATTTCTTGCCAGCAGTACTAGATATTGTGGATTTATAGCAGTGTTTGGTCTATGTGTGTCGGCTACACTAGATGAGATCCTCTAACCTACATATTCTTTGCAATGATTGCACCAGTCCGCAGTGCATGTTGCAACTTTTCTCTCCACGCTGTAAATGCCTTTGTCAGTTTCCATTATGATAGCTAATATTGGGCTCTACACGCCCTTACATGTTAGCCTTCTGTCACACAGTCCCCACTCTGTTATGCTGTTCTCCAATTCAGTCAATTGACCTTCATGGATCGCCTGACTCATTGTGGCAATAAACAGCATAATGTAGTTTGTGCTCTCTTGCAGTCATACACTCTATCAGGATTTCATTTTCAAGATCAGATCTTATTAATGCAAAGTCACAGTGCTTTGGGCAAGACTGTATGCAAACATCATCAACGCCACTGTCCAGAAAGGACCACTGAGAACCAAATGTGGACAGATTTACAGCATCAGGGCATTCTTTGCACAGTCTAAGCAGTTGTTCACCCCGGTCTCTTAGCAACAACAATAGTGAATGCACATAATTAAATGCTGATTGACCAGCTCAACAGAAACAGTGGTCCCTTGTTACAAATACTGCACGTTGCACTGCTTGATCATTCAACTCCAAAATAATATAATCATAGAAAGTCAAATGGTCAAAGAAAAATCTAAGCTTTGAATGTGGTTTATCAAACCTGGATAAAATGACATTAAGTTGTGAGCACAAATGTTATTTTCTAGTAATGCAGGCTAAATATTTTCATATATGGTAGTTTTAACAATGAATATCTTTTTGGGAAACCTCTACACATGTATACAAATACACTATAGGCCAACTGTTACTTGGCCTGTAGGGAAAACAAAATGTACATGAAGACATTTCCAAACATATGGATTGTCACTGTGCAAAGTTCCTTAGATATTAGTATCATCTACCTTTCCAGACTTCAGTTGGCCCTTTGCAGGTACACATAACACGATATAAAGTGATTCAAAGTCAAAGTTAAGGATGACATTAAATTGCTCCTCATTTTAGTATTCAGAATTGTTGTATTGTCTGAAGAGGCTCTCAAATAAATGGATGCAACCCAGAAACATGAATAAAAAAACAGATTTTTTTTTGGAGAGGATATACTGAATCAAAGTCCTGCTTTTTTCCAAAAAAATTGAGACTACATCATAATTGGTTTCCTACTCCCGCCTTAATAAGATCATCTAGATAAGTATTGATAAATGCAGTGGTTAAAATGCAGAGGATGGGAAAACATTGAATGAAGTCTAAGATAGGGGCCTGCGAGCTGCGACTGTGTAGCTTTGTAGTGGTTGTGTGCTGGTGTGCAGGGACGTTCTGAATAAATTCATTCAGACTCGACCATGACTGTGAACATTTCCGTCATTGTTGATAATAATTTGTTTTGTTCACTTGAGTTCCATGTTGCATTTATATTCTCAATAGAGCGATGTCTTGCATGATAACACATACATTATCAACAAAGAATCAGTGGTCCTGGATGCCTGAATATCTCATATTATTTTCTAAAGAAGGAGAAAATGGAGTCATACAGCTGGCACATTTTAATTTGTTCTAGCTCATGTTTGATTAATGCCATTTTTTTCTAGTCAGAGCTCATGTTTATGCAGCACCATTATTTACATAACACCTTGCCCTATTTGCAAATAGCTCCTATTTCCACAGTTGTGATCTTCTTTCACACAAAACATAAAAAGTATTTTTTTTGTAATGACACCTTGTTGGGAAAGAACCGTATCAAATAATCACTCCAATATTTTTAAAATTAATATATCTTTTGGGTTAGAATACAGTTGTTATAACTGGACTGATATGACTGACCATTTGTATACTCAAACCTAAATCCATAACTTTAAAACATTCAGTTCAATACAAATCCTTTTTATGCACTTTGATTGTATTATATAGGTGGCACATTATTCGCCAAAATACCTGCATTTATTTTCGACACATTTCTATACTGTTGAATCATGGATGAAGATTAAGGTTTAGAAAAATCGATAATAGTCAGCTGCATATATGGTTTGACCAAAACAAAAGGTTTCTCTTATAAGGAACTTACTGGGGAACCAAAATATTGGATTAAAAAATTATGTAATCATATTATTGCAATTTGAACAAATCCAATAGATGTTTAGGCCCCCAAAACATAAGTTTAGACCAAAAAAATTACTTACCAGGAAGGCTTCTCAATTAGCTAATTTCCCCTCCTCGACTCCCTCCTCGACTCCTATCCTTGTGTCTTAGTCCCGCCCACAGGAGATGCGAGCGGAGGAGTCGAGGAGGGGAACCGAGGAGAGAGGAGTGGAAGCAGCAGGCGTTTGGAGAAAAGAGAAATCTCAATTTAATTCATTCACAGTGCGGTATAATGAGACAATAACAGGTCGCTGGTCGCTGAAATGGGGAATTGAAATTACGGTCCAAAAGTTTTATTTACAAGTATTAAAAGTAAACATAGGACACCAAACCAACTGAGACCTGTCTGTCCGCCGCATCTGCGCACTGTACAATAGGGCTGCACGATTTGGGGAAATAATCGAATTGCGATTTTTCTGACAAATACTGCGATTCGATT